ATAACTTTTCTATTCAAAAATTAAATAACAGATCTCATAATAAAATTTACATTTTCGCAGTTAATAATTCTTAAGGCAGCTTTACATCTAGGCTATGCAAGTCTCATGCTATGTAAGTCCGTCTTGCATGGCACATCTCTTGCCTAGCTTGACCTTTTTACATCAGAGATATTTCTGTGCAATTTTAGATCCCCCTTTCATTGTTGCCAACAGAGAAAATATTTGTCAATTTGAGGTTATTTTACTTTTTATAAATATAATTAAGTACCAAAATAAATAATATAATAAATAAATATACACTATTTATGGTTATTAAAAGGGTGAAGGATGTCAACCAAAGCAAAGAAAACATTGTTATTGTTGAATATTGCTGTTGTAGCAACAATCATCCATAGTCAACGACTCACCCAGTCGTTTTTACATTAACTTTAGACATAGTAATATCTATTTATCACCACTTAATAAACTTAATTTAAATCAAAACACAACAATACACACGTGGGCTAAGGGACGCTAAAGATAGAGATAAAGTTATGTTTTATTCTGTAATCTATTATAAAGTGTTATGTTGGCAACATGAATTTTAACAATAAATTGCAAGAGAATTGCATGAAAAATAGAACATGTTCTAATTTTTCGTCTAGCACAGGAATTGCATGGAAATAGCCTGTGGGCATGCGCAGTTCCATGATCTGTCTTGCATGGCTCTTGCCTAGCATGAAAATAGCATAATGTAAAACTGTCTTTATACAAAAACGGAAAGTCTTATATGTATGGAAAACGAAATATTCTATTGTAAGCAATGACATCACATGAGAACAGGCCGATAATATTTGAGTTTATAGTCTGGCTTTTAAAACAAATGATGTGTGTTTAGTTTAGTAATCAATCAGTCACAATTTGCATCAGTCCGCGATACATACAATAATACCTTCCATTCGAGAATTAATTACGTTTTAAGATTAACAGTTTTTGTTACATTTTCTTCGATTTTATTATTATTTTTATTTTGTTTCTGTGGAAAATAAGTTTATCACACACGCATCCACACAACCACGGAACAGATGTACAGTTTGTCCCAAACCCTTTTTTCAGTGCGTCACTAATTTTGACGTCATATAGGATTTTAAGAATGTCGAGAATTATTGCATGACATTTTAGTTAAATCTGACAGTTGCAGGATGGTAATCGACTAAACGTGAAAAGGTTATTTTTTTTAATGCATAGCAGTTTGTCATAATTCTATTCTATTCTGTTCTATTTTATACATTCCATGGAAAGTGCTTAATTAGCTAAGATTTGTTTATGGATTTATTATTATTTATTACAAACACTAGGGAATTGGAAGATTTGTTTATTTAAAATAACGCTTCCTCCTAGAATCTTTTAAGAGTTGACTGCAAGGTAAAAAAAATTACTGACAATTGCAAGGCATCAAAGTAAACATTCCTGCGATAAAATAATATCGATTTAAATCAGTCATATTTGGATAAGGAATTTTCTGATAAGTTTGTGTGGCAGCCAATAGTTTAATTTTGTGAAGAGTTGTCATTAAATAGTGGAAATAGTTTAAATAGTGAAGCAGTTGATTTTTGAGTTATTCTACCAGATTTGGTGTGCAAATGAAAGAAGGTTATAAAGTTTAGTTAAAAAAACAATATAAATAGTTTAAATAGTGAAGCAGTTGATTCTTGAGTTAATCTACCAGTTCCGATATCCAGATGAAATCGTGTTAATGGAGTTTAGTTAAAAAACAAGATACAGAATGTAAGTTTACCTTCTTTTTTATGAATAACAAAAATGAATATTATATTTCAAACAATCTATAATCCCATTCAGAATCTGATTCTTGAAAATCAATGATTACACTAGATATGTGGCTGGTATCAATTATATCCTACATTTCAAGAAAATGTCGTGGTTCTAAAAAGAACCGTTTTAATACATATAAATATCCATAAAGGTATTAGTTTAAGATATTTCCTCAATATCATTCCGGAATTCACAATCTGATTCGCGAGCGACAGAAACTGAAATAAAGATAACTCAGCCTCATTTTCTAATTGAAACTAATTTAATAATTTTAATATTAGTCTTTTTTCATTCTCGGTATATCTCGGAATATTTAAAATATTTTTATGACAATAAATACAGAATTTAATTTTCACTGTAGTTAAAATGTCTGAAAATACTAACCTGGAATGACAATTATCATTTTATCAGTTGTTGTGAAAGTACTGTCACTGTCATTATCAAGATCATCTGTGTCAAATTATATTTATATGCATAATTGATTGGATATCTATTTAGCATATTCTAAACTCCAACCAATTATACGTTCGTAAGTAGAATTCGCTTTAAGGGGGTATGTTCACGCCGCAGTTAAAATGAGTGGCATTCAAATAAACTAACGTTTAACAATTCTTTGACTAGATGGCAGCACGTGCATCATATTCTAATATTTTAATTTTCCCGAGATTTACGTTTATGAACAGCGACATAGTTGCCAGCTTGACCAACTGGGAGTTATAATATATTTATATACGATCGGTACTGTTCGCTCTCAATAAAATTGGGCTATCAGTCTTGTTCAATGTAAATTGATATGAGCTATTAGTCTGCTATTAGTAGAAATTTCAGTATATTTTTTTAATTTTGTTGTGTTGTTATTTATTTACCTTTCAGGTCGCTGTTTTGATTTTAAGTGTTGTTTTTTTAGTTTTATAAAACTAAATGTTTTAGTGTTTTTTTGTTTAAATTTTGTTTAAATTTGAGTGTTGTTTTATTTTAAATAGTGTATACTAGTTTAGTTTCCTAATATTAAAGAAAATAGATAGGTAAGTACCTTTTGCTATAACTCGTGTGTATGAAGTTCATTTGACGATGTTAGCCAAGGGCACCCACAACATTTTTGTTTTATGTCAACGTGTTGCTAATATTTAAGTATTAGTTAAATAACGCGATTTTGTTTTATGCTTTTGGTATATCAAAGGTTATCTATTGAATATTTTTCAGGTGTGAACAAAATGCCCAGATTAAAGTCCTTTAATAAAAGATGTACCAAGCGTAGTCGCGCATTGAAGGGAATTTCAATAGTAGGTTGTGGTTCTACAAGTGACAAAGAGAAGTAAGTATCTATATTTATATTTTATATACATTGTTTTAAAAATGGTCATCATGTGAAAAAGTATTGGCAGTATCATGTAAATTTTGTCTTTTGTTATAAATACTCTGCATAAAAAGAATGCAAATTCAGGAACTCATTTAAGATCAATTTAGTGTAAATAACCTTAACCAAAATGCTCAAGTTATTTATGTGCCATTCTGTAAACAGAAACGTAAAATTGTATTAAGTTTACATGGACTGACAAGATATAAGACAGCAATATTTCTGTTTTTGTTTTTTAGCAAAGAAGCAGTGCAATCAACCTCATCCGATTTACATGAGTTCAGCTTTATTTCTTCAGAAGAATATGAAAGGTAAAGAATATGAAAGTAAAATACATGGTGTCTTTTTAATTACTAACAAACATGTTTTAATTTTAGCATTAACAATCATCCCCTGGAAATTAAAAAAGAACCAGTAAAACAAACATATCTTAATGGACACCGAATTGTTGACTTACATTATGTACTACAGTGGGCTTTAAACTTACAGTTTGCTCATTCGAAAGTTTGTACGATGGGAAATCTACAGATAATTGATGAAAAACATAAAGGTTTAGTTTCAACAGTGGTACTACTATGCAACATGTGTGGCTATAAGACTGAAAAGTCAACAGAAAACCCTTGTGAGCAGTCAACTATTAATTATGGAGCTGTTTGGGGCACATTATCAACAGGTGGTACATATGCACAGTTAACAGGATTGTTAGGTTTGTGAAAATACAGTAATAAAGTACAAATTTAATTTCATTGATTTTTTTAAAGTGCATTAGATATTCCTTCCATGTCTTATCGATTGTTCCATAATATTGAAATTGAACTTGGGGATAAGTGGATAGAAGGATTATGGAAGTCCATGGAAGAAGCTGGTATAAAGGAAAGAGAATTGGCTATAGCAGAAGGGCAACTAGATTCTGATGGCATACCATGGACTACTGTGTATTGTGACGGAGGTTGGAGTCACAGATCTTATGGACATAGCTATAATGCATCATCTGGCGTTGTATGTATATTCATAGACTATTATGTTACAAATCTAAATTTCTTACATTTTAGGCAGTTATTATTGGAAAATTTACTAAAAAATTATTATATGTGGGAGTTAGAAATAAGTATTGTTCATTGTGTGCCCGTTATGAATCTAAAAACGAGCCTGTACCTCTTCACATTTGTTATAAAAACTGGCAAGGCTCATCTACAGCAATGGAGACATCTATAATAGTTGAAGGATTTAAACAAAGCCAGGCATGTTAAAAGAAATAGGTTAACGGCTTCTTACTTTGGATCAATTTGCAAAAGAAGGCCTAATACAAGCTGTAGAAATTTATTAAAATCAATGATTGCACCCTCTTGGGATAATGAATATACCCTTTATGGGAAAGATAAGGAAGATGTCGCAAGACAAAGATTTATGGAATTGAATCCTGAGAAGAGAGTACAGAAGTGTGGAATATTTATTGATAATATTTACAATCATCTTGCTGCTACTCCAGATGGTAATATACACATTTAATTTCATTACACATAACACGTTTTCCTGAATTTCTATTTTGAAACAAATTACATTAGTTACTATTTCAGGAATTGTAGATGACAATAGTTTGTTAGAAGTTAAATACCTTCTGAAGGTGCATAAAAGTGGCAAGTCCCTGTTGGAAGCAGTAGAGACGCTAAAAAACATGCCATTGGAGAATATAAATGGAAGATTACAGTTAAAAAAGAACCATTATTACATGTATCAGGTACATACTTAAAATTTTTTGCATATTTTTAGAAAATATAATATTTATTTTTTTAGATTCAAGGCCAGCTTAATATTGCCCGAAAACAGTATTGCTACTTTGTAGTATACGTTAATGATACAGAGCCTCTGTTTGTTGAAAAAATTGAGCGAGATGAAGAACTTTGGGCTCGAATGATAGAAAAGCTCAATAGTTTTTTTTTATAACTGTTTTTTTACCTAAAATGGTCGACAAAAACAAAAAATGTCTTAATAAAAATCATTAAATTTCTATTTGAAAAACTCCTCCTGCGAAGAATCCTACCAATAATTGAAGAAACGAAAATAATTCCAGATCATCAATTTGGACTTAGAAAAACGCATTCGACACTTGACCAGGTGCATAGAATAACTGCTACAATTGAAAGATCATTAGAGAAAAGAAAAGTCTGTCACAACACCGACCACCGCCTGTGAGTGTTTTGTGCAGTGCAAGTGCTACGCGAGTGTAGTGTGTGGTAAATTTGACAATATGGACATATCCATTTTTAATTTATCTTTATGCATTTTTTTTTTCGTTCTATATTTTGAATTGTAAAAATTGTTTTGAAGTTTTTTAATGAAATCAGCTTTTTTTATCAGCCTCAGAGTCTCCAAAGCAGGGGGGATGTCATCAGGTGCCACCAATCACGCACCTCGATGTGCATCGCCCTTCCTTTTGGAATTTATAATTAAATTTTATTGGTTAAGAAACGAAAAGGTTTCATATAAAAGTTAATTTGTCTTTAAATATGGGACATTTTCGGATCTCTAGTCAGTACAGTTTTACCCTTAGCGGGTAGCCCTAGAGCTCCTCACTTGAAGGACTCTGCAATTTTCTAAGACTCTGAAGCTGAGTTTTTTTCTTCTTAGAAAAAGTGTGTTTTATTTCTACGATAGTAAATAAACCTACCGGCATTGTCTTTTTCAAGACAATTTAACAAATAGTTAAAAACAAATTGATAATTGGTCTTACTGACCAGATTTTAATGTAAGTACACTTCTGTGTCTTTAGTAAAAAAAAATTAAATTTCTGATATGCTGTTTTGTTTTAACATTTCCAAGTATTGAAAATAGATGTAGAACACTAAAAAATGTATTTATTGTTACGTGTGGAACGTCCTGCAGTTACTTTCCGTAAACCTCATAATCCATTAACCCAGCAGCGGTCGATCAGTTCCCTGCATAGATAATTTTACATTTTTCTTGGCAACAAGGCTATTGAATTTATATTTATTTTTAGTCGGTAAACCAAAACTTTCCGTCACTAAACCAATTGCTTCTTTGTTTTGAAATTCCCTCTGTAAAAAGCTCATTAGCTCGCTCAATCTTGTTTCTAAAGTTATAACTTCTGATGTTTCTCTGATATTTTCCATGGACACGGAAACAAGATGTAATAGTCGAATCATATGTTCTGGCAAACGTGACTCAATAAGAGGATACAATATCACTGCAAATTTGTCAGCAAGTTTTGTCTAAGGTCTCAAGTGAAAGAACCTAGGCTACAAACTCTAAATAATTTTTTAACTCGATTGGAGGTAATTTAAATTTGCGCTTACCTTTTACACTTGATGACTCAAAGTACCTTGCACTGTATTTATCAGTTGCCTCTATTTCACTATTCGTCGGAAGCTTTTTCGAATATACTTTTAAGTATCGCACTTTTCACTTCACAAAGCTCATAGTAGTTTACTTGTAAGACTTACAAGTAAAGCTAACAAACTGTCCAAAACATTAGCAATTTTCGTAAATGCACTATCCGAAGTACCGCTCTGCGTTTTCTATCTGATTTCATTTTCCGACGGTAACTTTCGCCGACCCTCACGGCAAGAACAAAACTATCCGCCGGAAAAAAGTTTGCACTAAAATAGGCGAAAACAACTAACTTCCCGTATATAAGTCCTGTCATATCCCGCAGTTGTCTTTCGCGAAATAATACAAAATTAAATTTTAAGTACAAAAAAATTTACTTTTGTATTAAATTACACAAGTGTGGATTTATAATACAGCTTGCTCTGGTTGTAAAAATATATGTATGCAATGCAATTCTAATACATATTATTAATATGATACTCATCATTCCATTCTCAGACGGAAAGGTCGTAAAATTTAATTATCTTACACCAGCACTTAGCGGATGTGCTGATTAGGGATTTTTAGTAAACATATTAATTACTTGACATTTTTTTTGCTAATACATATACACAAAACGTTCATTCATTTGGAAATATTTACGACAATTCGGAATTCTTTATCTACCCAAAAATATTTATTCCAAACTGATAAAAGAAATTTGCAATTGTTTGAAAATCTAAAATACGTTTACTTTTTTTCATATCGAAGAAGGTTTTTACTTAGAAAATTTCAGATTTTCATCTGATTTCTAATTATGACTCAAGTAAATTTCAATAATCTTTTTCATTTAAGGAAATAATTAATCGACAAAATTTAATCAATGATTACATTATATTGTTTTGTCTATAAAAATTAAATTTGCCAAAACGTGAATGAAACTGGAATTACTGGTATACTTGTATTTTTAAAACACCGTGACGTTATGCAATCATGATTGATAATTGACAGTCAAACGAAGCCAAAATATTAACTGGTTTGAGCCGCTTCGCCAAACCCAACCACGTGATTCGTATTACCATGGTTACTGCACAACAAATAGACAATTGGCATAACCACAAAACTAGGTTTCAATGTTTTGCAGATTTTTCTCAAGTGCGGCAAACGCGCATTTGTACATCACTGCTGCCCTCTACTAAATGACACGTGAACTTATTTTCACATCTATTAAGTAATAGCGGAACTAATTTCTCACTAGCAAAATGCCAACTTATAACGGTGACATCAACAAAATCCCTAGTTTGCAGTTTTTAATTGTAATTTTATCTTTAGGTACAGTTAATTAAAAAATTACGGCAGTATGGATAACGAACATTCGCTTAAAATAAAGGTTTTTGGATAGTTAATCATTTAAAGTAGTTATTTTGTACCTAAGTTCAAAAATTATTACACAATACCAATTTTTAGGCACGTTACCACGTAAGTTATGACATGGATTCATTTAGGTACAGTTATAAAAAAATTACTGCTTTCTTTGGAAATTTTAACTAGATATCATTAAAATAGAAAGGTTACAGTTTACGTACATAGTCATAAGTTGAAGATTGGTTTTGAAATAGTGACGATAACTGTACCTAAAAAGTATACAAATTTTAACATTGTGACATACCACCTTAATATGCGAATACCCGTAAACGATACCTAATTTTCTAATTTCTATGTATAATAATAAGCGACTCACGTTTTTTTCTGTCACTTCTAGCTTAATGCGTTAGAGAGAATTCGAACAACTATGACGCACTGAAAAAAGGGTTTGGGACGGACCGTAACACGACACTTTTTTAGTACTGTATGCTTTTAGTCTAGTAAATAAACCACTGTCATTTTTAATTTTAGCCTCTTGAAAAACTTTATTACAAACAGCGCAATCATGCATTTGTCAAGCTTTTTTGATCAAATATTCACATATATAAGTAAAGGCATTTTCTGTACCTGTAGTTGGAATCTGGAATGGATATAGCGGTATTTATATTTTTTGTAACATTTATAAGTTCGAAAATATTATGTTTGATATTATTTAAACCTGTTAATATAATCCCTAAGTCATCTGCTTATTTCATATGTTCCAAGTGTAAAAATTAAGACAAATTAATTGTTTGAATGATCTTTCACATTGAATTGGAGTAGAGTTTACAGAGCTTCCCCCTTGTGGTCTTAAATTTCCGAAAATAATTTTCTAAACTATCTTGATTTGTTCGCTGACTTTTAAGTTAATAAATCCTGCCCTTTCCAGTCGCTACCAAAGAACGTTTAGACTTTTTATTGTCACCATCCAACCGGTACGAAGTTTAGATCTTGATCATACATCGATGTTTTCTTTACATATGTTTAAGTTATCCAAAAATATCCATATCTTGTCGAGGTAATTGAGCTGATAATCCAAATCTTAAAAAAACATTTTTAAATTTATGTGGTGATATATATTGGCGGAACTGAATATATCAAAATTTATTTATCATTTCAATAATACCTGCAGCATGAAGGAGTAGTGTTACTAGGGGTAGTATGTAAGACTGCATACCGCTTGCAACTGTTCCATTTAAAACTTGAGTAGCTAACTTCACTTTCATTTTTTGAAAGTTTGTTGATTGAATATGCGCGTCGGTAGTTATTTCTAGGTGATTTTTGTAAATGTGGAGGATCAAAAAATAAATAAGCTTAAGCAGTGACATTTAATTTTCTGGAAAACTTTATAAAGTTTGACCCTAAATCAGTTAGTAGAATGTCACCATGTAAACCAGATTCTGATAATTTGGTAACACATTCAGTGAGAACTTTAGTGAAGTCGTTCGCGTCACAGGCTGAATTAAAAAAATAAGCAATTGGCTGTTTCCAATTCTGAAACAGTCCTCTTTCCATAATA